TGAGAAACCTCTTAAAAAAGCCGCTCTCGTGGGTTTTCTTGGCCTACTCTTCCACGCTGGCCGGACGTCTCGGAAGATGCAGTGGCGCCCACACTTTACCCCACCTCACGCGTCCTGCCCACCGACTGTGGCTGTCCCCGTTTGTACAACTCGGTGGATAGAGATTTAAGAAACTGCAGCTGCAAGATAACAACTCCCTTTATACAGTACAGGAGAGCAACTCTGAGTCTCAGGACTCTTTCTTCAGGGAAGTCCTGCATTGGGAAATCAGGCCACATCCCTTTGTAAGCAGTCTTTTTGTATGTTGAAGGGAACTTTAGGACCTGCATATGCCCACACGGACGAGTTCCCAAACCAACTTTGCTGTACTCCCGTCTGCCGGCCCACGTCACAATGCGGCCGAGATTTTGGAAATTCCACAAATCTACCGCGATCCACCCCAACCGCAGCTTCCGACATCCGCTGGGCCGCAGACCAGCGTCAAGCCGCCAGGCCCAGCTCGTAGGCGGCGGCCGACGGGCGCTCGCCGCTCGTCACCGGCGGCCTTCCCTCGGCACGACCTCCCGGGGGCTTTGCCGAGCCACGACGTTCAACGCGCCCCGCTAACGTCCGAAGCGTCGAACGCGAGGGAGCAAAATCAATCGAGCGACGTCAACTCCAATTCCGTCGGTCGACTCAACCGCCCGCGTGTTTCAGCTCGACAACCGGTGCCGGTAAAACATTTTTTCGGCTGCGAATGCCCCTTTAAAAGGCTCCGGCGTGTTGCAGCCACGAGGCCTTTAGGCACTTCGTTTTTTTCAATTTCATTCATTCAACATCCGTCGACGGCGTTGCGTTGGCCGGTGGCGGTGGCGGGCGGCGGCTTTTTTCAGGAGCCAATCGCGCTGCCGTAAAGCCGCATTTAGCTCGGGATTGCATTCTTTGCCCCCCCCTCCCTACCCCGTCGCAAATTAAAATCTCGCCGAGTGAATTTCTTCACCGGGTGGACTAATAAATAACTGGCGGTCGTTTTTTATTGGTGCGCGAGGCTTGAGGGCCCCGTTGCTCGCACTTACAGCCGCTCTTTGTTCAACGAACGTAACTTGGCCGGTTAAAGCGTATTTCAGCGGAGACGAGGTCAAAGTGAAAAAGGCACGTAGATGGTGGGGGGAGAGGGGCGTGGGGGGGCAATTGCGGTGGCAGCAGTGGTGGCAGGGGGCCGTCTAAGTGGTTCGGGGGGCTGCAGTCCGCAAGTCTGCTGAACGCCGTCGCTAAGCCCTGGAGATCGTAGCGCGGCTGCGCCTTGTCAGGCTGGGAACGTGGCTTCTTTTAAGATAACAACTCTTGAGCATATTGGGATTTTTTGGGGGGATTAATTGCTGCTCAGGTGGCTGCTCCATTGCGTGGTGGTGTGGGGCTGCAGTTGCAGCACCAGTGGAATCAGACGCTGGTTGTCATGGTGTTTAAATCTAAATGTGGGGAATCAAGACAATGTGCTTCAACTTGAGCAGGGATAGGGTTTGGTTAAGTTATTTTTGTTTTGTTTTACAGCGGGTGCCTTTTTTATGTCACGGCTTTTACGGTGGGGTTTGTTTCGTTTGGGAAAATCTGAAGTTGCCGCACGAAGCGAGGCATTTGGCATGAATGCTTGAAGGTCAAAAGGGCCGTCGCAAGGCACCTTGACGAAAATCTCTACAAGTGCCCCTTGTAAGCAGAGAAAATTAAAAGCACGTGTGGTGAAGAAACCTAAAAAAACACACGCACGCAAAATGTAAAAAAAAATAACAACACGTTTCTGCAAAGGAAATCTGATCAGTTGAGCCACGCACCTGATTGGTTAATGATGCACATGGCCACCTATGACCCTGCTTGTCTTAAACGTAATTTGTATAGCGTCCTAGCCGAGGCGCTTTACAGAGAATAAAGAACGGTACAAGGGGTGAGTGTGACGGTGGAGACGAGATGAATACAAGAGATGAGAGGAAGCAATGGGGGTGAATCTGATGACGCGTGAATTCGGTGAAGGTGAAATTGATGACGGTAAATGATGAATGGAGTTAATGAGTGAATGGGGTGAATGAGTGATGGCCATGTAATGAGAATATGAAGAGGGAACAGCAACGGTGGTGGTTATGAGGGGGGATTAAGGGGGGGGGGGGGGTCGTGGGTTGAGCTAGGGAACAATAAGTGAGCTTTGAGTGAGGAGCGGAAACTCTGGTGAGTGAAGGGTGGCCGCTTCATGTGCGTACGTGGACGACCTGCGTCGCTGCGCGCGTTCTCGAGGAATATCCCCCCCCCCCACCGCCCCCGTCTGCCGCACGGGACGGACGGGTCGATGGAAGGATAATGCGAGAGCCACGAATCTGCCGCCCCTTTTGTTCGTTCCGTCGAATCGTCTTTGGCCCCGCCGCACACCTGTCAAAGCGAGCCACACTTGAGGAGAGAGCAAATACATTTTGGCAACAGTTCTACTATTTTAAGACAGAGATCCCCCCGTGTCGCCTTAGCAGACTGTGAGTGGTGCCTATGAAGGCTGGAACGGTACACGTGGGGGTGGGTGGCCAGCACCACACCCGACCGCCTTTGTCCTCCTAGTGGCTACACAGACGCACACACAACGGTGTGTGTCTGTTCTTTGTTCCCACTCAGTGAAAATTGCCCGAACCAGTCCTGGGGCCTCCCCTAGGGCGACTCAGCCTCAAACGAGTACCTGGCACGGTGCGTAGTAAACATCGCCACTGGGGAGACAAAGGCGGCCGGGCGTGGTGCTGGCCACCCACCTCTAAATTTGCCGTGCCGGCGTTCTTAGGTGCTGGCTAACAGCGCTTGCCCCAACAGTCTGTTTCGGCTGTACGAGGGGGCCTTTGTCTCTTTGTGTTATTTGCTCCAAGTCCGCATTGACAGTTTGCCAAAAAACCCAAATTCACCGGCCCTAATCTCTCGCACCGCTCACCAACTCCCCCCCTCCCACTCGCCTGCCCCCGTCGCTAAAAAAAGAGAGAGAGCTTTACCGCGACCCAGCCCATCCCTCCCGGCCCCTGCATCGGCCTGCTGCTGCTGCCCCTCCCGCACCCACCTAGTGCCACAACAAGCACCACCATTGTAGCAGCAGCAGCAGCAGCTCGCCTCGCTCCCCAGGGCCAACGACTTCTCGGCCGTTCCTCCGGCGCTGGCTCGGCGGCGAGAGAGGCGAGCTGTCCCGCGATCGGAAGGTCGCGAGTTCAAATCACGGTCGGTGGTGGGCAGGGGTGGTGCGGTTTGGCTTTGTGGGGAAATCAACGAGGTGGTTGTCATTTGGAGAGATTTGCCCCCCCCCTTCCGCCCCCCCCCGTCACCGCCGCCATAGGAATGTGTAATTTCCAGCGGGTGCTCAGGTCTGTCAACAGGAGATGAGCGCCGTTGCCTTGATGCTCGTTTGAGCAGCAGCAGCAGGGGGCTCAACTTCGATTTTCGAGTCGGAGTTTGAAGGAGCCTCACGTGGAGATGCTTCTTTGGTTCTGTCCGTGGAGCGATGCCAAAGCCTCTCCGTGGCTCCCTGGGACGCTCGCTCCCTCCCACCCCCAGCCACTTCCTTTCCCAAGCCCCACGTTTTACGAAGTATATACGATTCTCGTATTTTAATATAGCCGGATGAATACCCTTGTATTCTAAATATTGAACTTTCAAATTCAACAAACGCATTAAGCCCTTGCGTTTTTTTTTACTGACAAGTAAAAATAAATCGAATGCGGTGAGGTCGTCGTTTCCACGATGGTTCCCGTGAAATGTAAATAACTCAACGAGAGGGGTCATCCGTTGTCTTACGCGGGCGTGGCCCCCGTGGCGTCGGGGGGGGGGGGGGCGACGCCGAGCCGCTGTTCCTGAGGCCTTCCACCCCGACCCGGCAAGGAACACTCGAGCTCCTGTGGGCAGCGCTACACGGGACAACCCGACAGCGTGAGGGCAATGCTAAACCAGGGTAAGCCTGCAGCGAATGGGCAATGCTAAACCAGGGTAAGCCTCCAGCGTATGGGCAATGCTAAACCAGGGTGAGCCTGCAGCGTATGGGCAATGCTAAACCAGGGTAAGCCTGCAGCGTATGGGCAATGCTAAACCAGGGTGAGCCTGCAGCGTATGGGCAATGCTAAACCAGGGTGAGCCTGCAGCGTATGGGCAATGCTAAACCAGGGTAAGCCTGCAGCGTATGGGCAATGCTAAACCAGGGTAAGCCTGCAGCGTATGGGCAATGCTCAACCAGGGTAAGCCTGCAGCGTTTGGGCAATGCTAAACCAGGGTAAGCCTGCAGCGTATGGGCAATGCTCAACCAGGTTAAGCCTGCAGCGTATGGGCAATGCTAAACCAGGGTAAGCCTGCAGCGTATGGGCAATGCTCAACCAGGGTAAGCCTGCAGCATATGGGCAATGCTAAACCAGGGTAAGCCTGCAGCGAATGGGCAATGCTAAACCAGGGTAAGCCTGCAGCGTATGGGCAATGCTAAACCAGGGTGAGCCTGCAGTGTATGGGCAATGCTAAACCAGGGTAAGCCTGCAGCGTATGGGCAATGCTAAACCAGGGTAAGCCTCCAGCGTATGGGCAATGCTAAACCAGGGTAAGCCTGCAGCGTATGGGCAATGCTAAACCAGGGTAAGCCTGCAGCGTATGGGCAATGCTCAACCAGGGTAAGCCTGCAGCGTTTGGGCAATGCTAAACCAGGGTAAGCCTGCAGCGTATGGGCAATGCTCAACCAGGGTAAGCCTGCAGCGTATGGGCAATGCTAAACCAGGGTAAGCCTGCAGCGTATGGGCAATGCTAAACCAGGGTCAGCCTGCAGCGTATGGGCAATGCTAAACCAGGGTAAGCCTGCAGCGTGTGGGCAATGCTAAACCAGGGTGAGCCTGCAGCGTATGGGCAATGCTAAACCAGGGTAAGCCTGCAGCGTTTGGGCAATGCTAAACCAGGGTGAGCCTGCAGCGTATGGGCAATGCTAAACCAGGGTGAGCCTGCAGCGTATGGGCAATGCTAAACCAGGGTAAGCCCGCAGCATGTGGGAAATGCTCAACCAGGGTGAGCCTGCAGCGTATGGGCAATGCTAAACCAGGGTAAGCCTGCAGCGTATGGGCAATGCTAAACCAGGGTAAGCCTGCAGCGTATGGGCAATGCTAAACCAGGGTAAGCCTGCAGCGTGTGGGAAATGCTCAACCAGGGTGAGCCTGCAGCGTATGGGCAATGCTAAACCAGGGTAAGCCTGCAGCGTATGGGCAATGCTAAACCAGGGTGAGCCTGCAGCGTATGGGCAATGCTAAACCAGGGTAAGCCTGCAGCGTATGGGCAATGCGAAACCAGGGTGAGCCTGCAGCGTATGGGCAATGCTAAACCAGGGTAAGCCTGCAGCGTATGGGCAATGCTAAACCAGGGTGAGCCTGCAGCGTATGGGCAATGCTAAACCAGGGTGAGCCTGCAGCGTATGGGCAATGCTAAACCAGGGTGAGCCTGCAGCGTATGGGCAATGCTAAACCAGGGTGAGCCTGCAGCGTATGGGCAATGCTAAACCAGGGTGAGCCTGCAGCGTATGGGCAATGCTAAACCAGGGTGAGCCTGCAGCGTATGGGCAATGCTAAACCAGGGTGAGCCTGCAGCGTATGGGCAATGCTAAACCAGGGTGAGCCTGCAGCGTATGGGCAATGCTAAACCAGGGTGAGCCTGCAGCGTATGGGCAATGCTAAACCAGGGTGAGCCTGCAGCGTATGGGCAATGCTAAACCAGGGTAAGCCCGCAGCATCTGGGAAATGCTCAACCAGGGTGAGCCTGCAGCGTATGGGCAATGCTAAACCAGGGTAAGCCTGCAGCGTATGGGCAATGCTAAACCAGGGTAAGCCTGCAGCGTATGGGCAATGCTAAACCAGGGTAAGCCTGCAGCGTGTGGGAAATGCTCAACCAGGGTGAGCCTGCAGCGTATGGGCAATGCTAAACCAGGGTAAGCCTGCAGCGTATGGGCAATGCTAAACCAGGGTGAGCCTGCAGCGTATGGGCAATGCTAAACCAGGGTAAGCCTGCAGCGTATGGGCAATGCTAAACCAGGGTGAGCCTGCAGCGTATGGGCAATGCTAAACCAGGGTAAGCCTGCAGCGTATGGGCAATGCTAAACCAGGGTGAGCCTGCAGCGTATGGGCAATGCTAAACCAGGGTGAGCCTGCAGCGTATGGGCGTACGAAGGAGAAGAAGACTCGAACTCTTGCTCGCTCACTGCCGCCTTAGTAAAGCGCCCTCCCGGCCACGGTAACATCACAGACAAATCGTCGCTTCTTTTTTTTTAGGTCGGCTAAGTTTTGTCGTAAGCCCTGAAGTAATTTGCGTTTTGTCAGATTGCTTGCCCAGATTTTTTATTTTAAACGTAACGCTCACCCACCCCCTCCCTTGCCTCCCCCCCTTTCCTTCCTCTGCCTGCGTCTTCCTAAAACCCCTCTGGCTTTCCCAGCCACCCACCCACCCACCCAGCAACAAACCACAAACCCTCGCCACGACAACTGTGACCCTCACGATGCAACAACAAAAAGACGCCCGCTATTAAAACATTCAAATACCGCGTGCCCGCACACAGCACCGTCGGCCACTCTGTGCCCCCACGCTAGCTGATCGCAACGGCGCGGCCGACTTTGTACTACGATGGACTTCTTTGGCACCATACATAGCGAACCGTGCTAATCGGAGGTGCGGGGGAAGGACAACAAAGGGAACACACAAAGCGATTCTGAATAAATGAGTTTGTCAATCTAGATGATGATTTAAATGTGCATAGCTCCAGTGGCTTCCTAATATCGGAAGAGCGATCCCGACGGCCGCAGAAGCGCATTCAAAAGCGTGCGATGACAGTCTTTGTTCGATGGCGAGCAAAAACCCTGCTACGAGGATGACCGGAGTTTGCGTGATAGTCTTTGACGAGATCAGCAAGGTATTGCGGTTCATTTGTGGCAAGCACTTTGTGTGTAATGAGTGCGACCTTGTCATGTTTTTGTTTAGCATCTGGAAGCCAAAAGCAACCGGAAGCCTTTTGACATCCTGTATATGCCCGGCCGTTTACACATTAGCTCTGTGGTCACCCCCCCACGTCTGTTTAATCATCAAGTTTTTGGTCGAGCGTTTTGTGCCGGAATCGATGAGGTCAATCTGCCAAAGCCAATTCGCACCGCAGGGAATTTCACATTTAGCTTCGATTTAATGTTGATTTATGTTTGCGATATTTTGAATCCTGCGCCGTGTGATATTTATATGGGACACTTTTTGACAGTTTACAGTATGAACTCATGTTTGTTTGCATTTTTTTTTACCACGAGTATGTGTGCTTAGTGCAGGCTTGGTATGCAGGAGGTCATGGGTCCCGATCCTGACCCTGACGCCTGTTGTATATTTGGAGTTTTCATGTTCTCCCTGTGGTTGTGTGGATTTGTCCCCAGGTCCTCCAGTTTTTCCCTCCACATGCGTTTAGAGTATTTGGCTGCTATACATTTCCACGTGATAAGCCACTTCGTTGCGCTATCATTTGCGGCCAGGTCGCTTGTAAAAAAGAGTTACGTAGCTCAGTGGGGCCTCACCTGGTAAAATAAAAATAGTTTAGTTTACTTGATGCCTTGTCATAAGTGTCTATTTGGTGTTTGAACAGCTCAACAACTGTATTTATGTCATTAAATAGTGTTTTATCGTCTATATGTTGTTTTTGTTCCAATTGCTTTCCTTCATCGTTGTACTTTGTTTTGCTCGCTTGCTTCATTTTTGTTGACCCAGGTTCCCTTTTGCAAACGAGACTCGTCCGTGTTTCTTGAGTTCCCACCTGGTACACAAATTAAACGTGAGACCTTTGGCCGAACGTCCCACTCCTACGCCAAGATTCCCTTACGCCAAGTCTCCTTCGTTTGCCCGATGTAGCAGCTGTCGCCCATCGCTTGTCAAGCTTCCACTAACAGAAAGGGGCCTTCAGACGTCACGCGGTTCAACCGGCATCGCTTTAAGCAAAGCCTCACTCGGCCGACGAGACGCCGACTCTCGAAAACCTGACCCAGAGCATGCCTCGTATTCGCCATTAGCCCGGAGCGGCGCTAACCCTGCGCCCCCCGCCCCCCTCCCCCCCCCCGTGCCGCAGATGTGGACGAGTGCGCCGGCGCGCCGGGCGTGTGCGACGGCGGCGAGTGCTCCAACACGGTGGGCGGCTACTTCTGCACGTGCCCCCGCGGCTTCGTCTCCTCCGGCGACGGCTCCCGCTGCATCGGTAAGCGGGGAGAGGAACGGCGACGCCGGAACGCAGCTGGCCACGTGATGGTGCGAAGGAAGTTCAACGTGCGTGCGCAACACACGACCTGTATTCCGGCATTGTGAAGGAGGAGGTGCCGCGTGGCTGTCTTCCTACTTGTCTGTGGTTCCTCCTTGTGCCGCCGAGTCGTTCCCTCTCTAGGTGAGCGAGCGTATACCGCGCGGCGATTTACAAGTTGAAATTATTATTATGTTGTTGGTAATCACGATGATGATTCGGTTTATGATGGAGCCACCCGCTTTGCATCACATCTCATCTCAACGCGTTTGAAAGGGGCATCCCCCCAGCGGCAGCTGTCCCTGTGCGGCACAACGGTAGCTCAGCACCTGGCTTGCAAGCGGACCTTGGTCTGCCAGCGGGGTGCGTCGATTGTGATCGTTGTGTTTTAAGCGCATCTGCATCTGAGCAATTTGCAGGGACATTTTTTTCGAATTTGGCAAATTTCGGACCATGGCGCCCGATGCTCCCGCTCGTCTCGAACGACGTCCGGAGATCTTTAACGACCGCTGTGAAGCAGGCGGTTCGTATTCCGTGGTTGACACACTCTGCAGTAATAACCGGGGTGGCCTGTTGGATTTGAACAGCGACTACCGCAAACGCGCTACAGCTGGGGCCGTGTCAACGCCTGGCTCTGGCCAGATTCAGCCAGGTTCCAAACTCCTCCACCCCCCCCACCCTGCGGGTCCATGGCAGTGCCCCCCACCCCCCCGGTGCTGTGCCCCCCGGTGCTTTGCGCCGGGCGCCGCTGGGCCGTGTTTGGTGAGGGTAAGGTTTCTCCTGGAGGCTCTGGGAGCCGTGTGACCTGCGTGAACTTTGGGCCAGTCCATGTGCGAGCGGTCCGTGTGTGAGCCGTCTGCGCGTGGCGACAGCGCGTGCGTGTGCAGCGCGAGCTTGTGGCCGTCTGGGTGGTTAATTTGGACGTTTTTATGTATTTGCTTTCTTTGTAATCTTTCACACGATACAGCCAAACTATTTTTTTTGCGTCGCTATTGTCTTGCTTGGTCGGCGGGTATAGCGCGTCCGCTGCTTGTTGCAGAGGTTTGCGCTTTGAAGGTCCATCTTAAATCGCATCCACTACACAAACCATGGCAGATGCGGATACCTGATGCACAAATGTAAAATGTAAAACTTTCCAGTAGTGTGTGACTGTAAATCAACCAGAACAGACCGTACAACGTTTCACGACGCATTGCCCCATCGACAAAATCGGCAGAGAACATCGCAGCGATGATAGACTCCACTACTCCTGACGCAGTTATTTGGCTTGACCACCTGAAGGTGACATAGTAGTTGTCGCTCTGCATCTACATCAGCATCCGTATGACAAGAAGAAGACGGTTAGATACCGGAAGACCGCCCCGATAATGATTACTCCGCCGCGCGTTGTTGCCGTAACGATCCCTCCTACACGCCGTCCGATGCACAGTGGACCTTAAAGATCCCCGTGACGTCATTCGCAAGAGCAGTGCCGGCGTCAGGGCCCAAATTGGCCAAATGAGAAAATTACGCTGCCAATGGCTCGATTGGGGCTTCGTGCACATGCGTCAACAACCAGGACGGTCTGCCACATTAGTCTGGTGCAAGCTCGTGTATCTTGTTGAACCAGATACTGGGATGAGGCTCATGTGCAAGAGGGACCAGGTCACGCTTGCACACGAGGCCCATCCTGGTCCCCCTTGAGTTCTTGCCTCTGGTTAAACAAAATAAACTGCCATGCGCCACATTTATAAGGCACCGATTTTGAATTCGATTCTACTGCTGCTATATGTTGTCTTTGTGTTTTCTCCCAGGTGCCCCTTGCAAATGAGAATTGTTATCAGAGTGCACCGGGCCTCAATCAAAGATAGACACAAGCCTTCACTGACGATCTCACTCGAATGGGTGCAAGTGTGTGTGAGTGTGTGCGAGAGCGGTGGTGCGGTGGTTAGCACCCTACGCTACGAACCCAGCCACCCGAGTTCGACTCCCGCTCACGGTCAGCACCAGTGACGATTGTCTGAACCCGGTCCTAGGTGGGCTGTGGGTGTGCAAACATCAGCACTTGCCCTCAACAGTATGTTGAGGCTATACGGGGGACCTTTGTCTTTGGTGCAGAAGTGAGATTTGACCAAGTGCCCATTTCCCGTGTGTTTTTTTTCCATCACCACTCACCCGGGGGTTTCCTTTCAAGAAGCACGGTGGGGGGGGGGGGGCTGGGCAGTGGTGGTGGGTGGGGGGGGGCACTTTGTGCACAAGCCGCGTAGTGTGAGGAGCTTGGTGGGGGGCGTGGTGGGGCGGGGGAGCGTGCGGTGCGGTTATTTGTAAAGAGAGAGCACAAGGCCCGTGGCTTGCCTGGGGATTGTGGGAAGCCGCCGTGCCGCCCTGCGAAGTGACACTCTCGAGCAGGCGTAGGATCTCGTGCAAGGGCAGATAATTACACAGCCCCCCCCCCACCTTCTCGTTAGCACTTGGCTCCGGGCTAGCCTATTAAACATCCACCTCCTCTTCCCCCCACCCACACCGACGCGCGCACACATTCCGCCACTAAGAGCAGCGAGATGGGTGGTGGTGGTGGTCGCGGGGAGGAGGAAGCATTGGGGGTGGCGGTGGTGGCTGTGCACACTGCCTTGTGATATTTTTTACCGGCAGCTGTTCCGTAACATCAATCGGACATTTTTTTCTCGAGCCCGGTGAAAATTTGTTGTGTAAACGACCGCAAGAGAAATTTGCCATGTTCGTGCCCTCGAGTGCGGTTCGGAGGGAGAATCAAATGGAATTGAATCATGGCACGTGACAGATTCGGAGGTTTCCAAGGGAAAATGCTCCGGCCGACCGAACGCCGATCAACACACATGCCGCCCTATCGGCTCTCCGTGGCTCTAAACCTGGTCTTCGAGTGCACGTCCACTCGGTAGCTCGTGGCTACGACTGTTGTATACGCCGAGCGACACCAAGAGACGGAGAGAATTAACGGCCGGATAAGAGAAACATTCATATTATGCCATCGCTCGATCTTCGAGGCAGGTGACGATACGGAGAGGCCTTCATCCAGCAGCGGATAAATTATGTTCACTGGTGATTATGATGATAGTGCAAGTAGGGATATGAACGGGTGGATGTATGAGCCGCATTCAGGAAACGTGCAAAGTGTGCAGCGAGCGGAGAAGCATAAGAGAGAGTGTGAAGGTCGCCGCAGCGCGGGACAGCAAACTCGGAACGTGGAGCAGCGTGGGGGGGCACAGGGGTGGTGACGCGTGCCCGGCCGGAGCGCGCAGGCCGCTCGTTGCAGAAGGTCACGGTTCGAATCCGGCAGGCCGCCCTGGTTACTCGCCGCGGGCGTATTAGCCGTGAAACGCGGAGGCGGCGGCGCCGTCCGCTTCGTGGCGGACGTCAAAGTTGCGGCGCCGACCGTCGTGCTCCAGACTTGCTCAAAGTTATTGGAAAACGCGGAAACTCAGCCGGGACCCTTCTAAAAACGAGTCTTGAGACTCAGCGAGGCGTAACTGGGAAAACAAATTACATATTAATAGCAACAATAACCGGCATGTGGTAGCAAATATGCATAACAAAGCAGGTTAGCTACTGCCGCTGCTGCGTTTGCCACTTCTATTGCCGCCGCTACCACTGCTACTGCCACCACCACTGCCGCTACCGCTGCTACTGCCGCCGCCGCCGCGCGCGCTCCAAGTTTATAGCTCCGGTTGCTCCACCGGGCGCACGAACGCGTTCGCGAGCCCTCGCACGTACGCGCCGCGCACCAACGGGGAACCCTTCCACGAGGTTTCTACCGCAAGAGCATGGCACAGCTGGTGACCCTCGCCTGGGCGATAAGTAAATGTCTTTCGGTGTTTTCTTTGAAAATTACCGGGCAGCTCGTGGTCTAGGACCTATTTTTGTAAGCGAGTCTGGCGGCAGTGAAGGGGAATGGAAGGAGGAGAGAGGAGGGTGGGAGGGAGAAAAGTTTTTGAGACGGCCAGACGGATGTGTGTGTGTGCCATTTCCCACGAGAGCAACGCAAATGGGTTCCATCTGCTTGCATACGCGCGTGTGTGCGCGCGTGTGCGTGTGTGTGTGTTCTGAGCGTGTGTGTCGGTGTTCTGAGCAAAACGCATTAGAGAATTGCATCGTGGTTAACGTTATATTTTGTTGAGGCATTTCCCTTTTACACTGATTTCTGTATTGGTCATGACACCACCGCAGTTTGTTGAAGTTGGCCCAAGGAGTGGCCCCCGATGCTCGTGATGGGCTACTCGGAGTCGTTCTTTGGAAAGTGCAAATATTTTATAAGCTGTGGTATATGCACACGCGTGTGCTTCCATTGCCCACGTAATGGACTTGTATTTTACTATTTGTTCAGCGCCGTACTTAATTGTCTATTCTGAAATTTGTCTTGGAATACTTTAAATGGTTTTTAACGTGTTTTTGAAAAGCAATGTTTACATATTTCTCTTTTTTGGCCTCTGTCTGCTCTTGGTTTGTTCCAGATGTCTCTTAGATCGCCCGACTTTTAAAATTGGACTCCGACCTGGTTAAACATAGTACGAAATAATCTTGATTTAAAGCTTTCATGACTGCAGGAATCCATACTCCTTCGTTGTTTAGGTAAAGTCACGTAGGTAGAAAAATAATAGATCACGACGTTTCGATCGCAACACAAGCGTCCGTCATCAGGTGTTCGTCCCACTTGATAACGGATGCTTGTGTTGCGATCGAAACGTCGTGATCTATTAATTTTCTATCTGCGTGCCTTTACCGAAAGAACCAAAGAGTATAGGACGAAATAATCGATCAAATAAACAACCGGACGATACTTCTCCTTCGCATATCTGTGCCGGAGTGTAAGAAAAACAAACGGTATTTTTTTTGACACATCCCATCAACCGCCGCAGCCTTCTGGCAGTCCATAATTTCAGCGGAATTGGTTCAACACAACCAAAACTCTGGATAAACGACTCGCGTCCGTGCGAGTACCACATGAATGCTTTTACATGACGCACCGCGTCGATGTATATATTTTTTTAAAACGTGTTTTTTATTTAAATTGGAACATATTTTTTCTCCCCCAGCTCTGAGAGGATACAGGCACAACAAAGAAACCCATTCTAAACTAAACTAAAACATTGATTTTTTTTCCAGGTAAGGCCCACTGAGCTACATAGCTCTTTTTCAGAAGTGATCTGGCCACAAATGATAGCTCAACGAAGTGGCTTACAATCATGCGGAAATGTATAGCAGCCAAATACTCTAAAACGCGTGTTTCCAAACGTGAAGGGAAAACCCGAAGCACTTGGGAGAAACATCCACGCGACAACGGGGAGATGGTGCAAACTCCAAATATACAGCAGGCTTCAGGGTCGGCATCGAACCCACGACCTCCTGCATACCTGGCGAGGGAGTGAACATCTCGCCACTCGTCGCCACGTCTGAGAAGCGCGGTCGAGAGGGTGGCTGTGCGAGAGACTCTGCGATTGTCCAGGGCCGCTGGAGAAGGCACCACGTGTGACAATTATTCGTTTGCTCGTCGTTGACGCCACTCAGCCGCCCACCCTGGACAACAATGGCGTCCTTTTGCCTTTTTTCAAACGCCGTTCGAGAGCCGAAGGAGACCTCGCTAGTTGCACGATGAGGGGATTGTGAAAAAGGTGAGGGGGGGGGGTGGAATTAAACTGGTCACACTCGTCCCGAGACGCAATTCATTGCTTTAAATTCACATATTTGAATTTGCATCTCGTTACCATGCCGTCTGATGGATTTCTGCTCCTGAGTTTCCCCTGGCCAAAGAAAACAAGCTGTCGCACGTCACCGTGGTGCGCGCGTTTCGTCCGTTCACACAGCATCTTGAGACGCGCCGATGCAATTGGACGCTTTTGCATCGTACTGCATCGTTGCCGTCGGGTGTCTGGGGGGGGGGGCGAGTTAGCGCGAGGGCGGACGACTTTTGTTTGAGTTTTTTGTCGAGCGGCGTCGTGTTTTTGGCGGCAGCGCGAACGGCCGATGACGGCGAGCGGTCGCGCGGCGCTCAATGGAAGTCGCCGCGCCGCGCGCCCCAGGCAGCCGGGCAGATTGGCGAGCTGCCCCTCGGTCACGGTCCTTCAGCGGAGCCCCGCCGCAGTGTGTCCGCCCCTCGCCGTTTGAAAACAAAACCACCTTTTATTTTTAAAACACCTTCCCCCTTCTCGGCTTTGCGCCTCGCGTTGACGCGGCCGTCGCCCGTCGCACGCCGCCGTCACATTCTTTTGCAGGAAATTCTCCTCGACCCACCTCCTCTATTCCTTTTTTTTCTTTCCTGCTTCCCCCCCCCCTCAAAAAAATCCCAAAACAAAACAAACCCCGACCCAATCCCATTCCTACATATCCAGACGCTGACCGTGTTGTGGCTGAATAGGTGTTTTGTCTCGAGGCGCGCGCATACCTCAGCCCGACCGACGCATTATGGGGCGGGGGGCGGTGGTGGGGGCAGTGGTGGGGGCGGTGGGGGGGGGGGGCAACTCGCGTCCCACCCGTACGAGGCGGCTCGGTTTAAACGGGCCCCTGCGTGGCCACCAACGTGGGTTCACACGCGCAACGCTGCTCCTTTCCCAACGCCGCCTCAATTGGGGTTCTGTTATTAAGGCGTGCCCAGGTCTCCCTTGGAAACAGTTCCGCGGCGGAGAGTGAGAGAGGGAGCGTGAGAGTGAGAGAGAGAGTGAGAGAGGGAGCGTGAGAGTGAGAGAGAGAGGGAGAGAGAGAGGGAGCGTGAGAGTGAGAGTAATTGCCCACGGCGGTCAGTGGCACAAAAACGGTGCTCGTGGAGCGGGGGGGGGGAGCGGCGTGGGGTTGGAAAATGTTTCAACGTCTCGGTTTCGACTGCGCGTGAACGAGCCCGCGTGCAAGCTGAAGGGCCCGCAAGTTATCTGGATGTTCGTTCCGAATGGGCCCGCCTTCTCTGGCTCTCGCCCCCGTTTTCTATTTTACGATAATTGCCGTGGAAAATAGTCGCGGTGAACTTATGTTATTGCTCGAGGAAAATGTAATGTTATAATTGTGTGCCGGTTTGTGCGTGTAAGCATGAAGCTGCGTGTTTTGTTTTTTGTGAAAGCCTCTCGGTCGATGCGTTTTTAGTTTTCTTGCCCTTGCTAGGGACTGCGCAGCGGTGTTTAGATTGGTCACGGAAGAAAACAAATCTCAACAGGAGGTTGAAGTGTTCCAAGTAAACCGCCCCCCCCTCACCACCCCACCGAAGAAAAACACCTGGATGTTCGTGACCGTACCTGCGGAGGCTGTCGGCAATTACAGCTCAAATGGCATTTTCTTTGAAAATCCTTGGAAAATTTCCAACAAAGTAGAAAGTGCCTCTGTTGTACGGGGCCCAGATACACGCACGTGGTGTGTGCGTGTGTGTGCATGTGTATGTGTGTGTGTGTGGATGTGTGTGTGTGTGCATGTGTGTGTAGGTCGACTGAGCCTGAAATGAGTACCTGGTGCGGTGTGTAAACCTCGCCACTAGGGAGACAAAGGCGGTCGGGCGTGGTGCTGGCCACCCACCCCCTTGTGTACCATTCCGGCCTTCATAGGTGCTCGCTAACAGCACTTGCCCCTACAGTCTGTTAAGGCTATACGGGGGATCTTTTATGTGTGTGTGTGTGTGCACGTTCGCGGGAGTGGTAGTGCAACAGTTTCAGCGCTGCACTATAAACCCGGCCACCCGAGTTCGACTCCCGCTCACGGCCAACACCACTGACGAATATCTGAATCGGTCTTGGGCCTCCCATAGGTCGACTCCACTACAATGAGTACCCGGTCCGGTGTGTAACCATCGCCACCGGGGAGACAAAGGCGGCCAGGCGTCGTGCTGGCCACCCACCCACCCCCTCGTGTGCCGTGCCAGCCTTAATAGGTGCTCGCTCACAGCACTTGCCCCAACGGTCTGTCAAGGCTACAGGGTGGGGGTATCTTTGTCTCTGTGCCTCCTTGCGTGCAGACCAGCGCGTGGGCACGTGCTTCGCGAGCCTGCTGGGCGGCCGCTGCGGAGGCGAGCTGCCGTCGCCGCTCACCAAGACGCAGTGCTGCTGCGAGACGGGCCGCTGCTGGGCCGCCGGCGGGCTGCCCGAGATGTGTCCCGTGCGGGGCTCCGGTAGGTGGCCTCGGGTGTGCCGGGGCCGCCCGCACGACGGCGTGGCGGGGATGGGGAGAGAGAGACCCCATCACAAGCCTGGTTTTGTTTTACTAAGGGGGGTCAGAACACTGAGCCGGCGGGGTCGCTGAGATCCTCCGATCAGAATTGGGGATTTCGGCAGGATCGCCTTGGCGGAGGGCGTAAAGAAATGCGTGCCGCTCGTGTGGACGTGAAGCTAACGAGGAGGGGCCGTTGGCATTGGGACACGCTTTAAAGATGGCTCCACAACGGGCCTGGTTTCGTTGTACCACGCATGCACACCGCGACCTCCCACCCCACCCCGACCCCCTGGGAATCCTCTCTCTGTCTCTCTCCAGATGAGTTCCGCCGGCTCTGCATCGAGGGTGCACCCGTGGGACCGGGTGTTGGCCCCGGCGGGGGCCCTTTCGGTCCTCACCCGGGAGGCCCCTACAGCCCCTACGGGCCAGGCCTGGGCCCCAACGGGGGGCCCTTGGATCCGAGCGGCCCCAACGGGGTTCCCTACCGCCCGGGCGTCAACGGCAACGGCGTGCCGGGAGGGCCCCTTCGCGGTGAGCAAAGCCGCACGCAGCGGCCGAACCTGGTGCTTGTTTACAAAATAAAGATCCCCCGCGTAGCCTCAACAGACTGTTGGGGCAAGTGCTGTTAGCGAGTAGCACCTATGAAGGCCGGCACGGCACACGAGGGAGTGTGTGGCCAACACCACGCCCGGTCGCTTTTGTCTCTCCAGTGACGATGTTTACTACACACCGCACCGGGTACTCATTTGAGGCTGAGTCGACCTAAGGGAGGCCCAGGACCGGTTCAGATAATTATGACTGGTGTTGGCCGCAAGCGGGAATTGAACTTGGGTTGCCGGCTTGGTAGCGCAGCGTGCTAACCGCTGCACTACCGCTCCCCACAATATTTACGCTTAAACATGCACGATGAGTTGACACGGAGTGCATCGTGTTTTTTTGTTGATTTGTGCTTCTTACGCGTCAGCAACGCAGCAGCAGCATCATCACCAGAGTAGGGAGAAAAGAGAACTGTGAAGGTTTTGTCAACTCTCATTTCACTAGCTGAAATGTACTGTTAACCGAAATAATTGTTAATCGAACATAGGAATTACATGTTTTAACCATTAGTCCCTTCCAACGTAAACACGTACCGTTAATGAAAATGTTAACTTTAGTCGAAAACACGGGGTCCTATGGGAGGCGGAACGTTAACCGATGTGACCTTTTAACCGAGGGACTTCTGTATATAAACACCACCAAAGCTAACGTGATGAATACTAACTCAACAACCAGACGCGCTCCGTCACCACTGCTGCCGCTACCCTACGCAGCCGCGGCCGCGACCGCCGTGAGCTCCGTCGATTGTTGAGCGGCACGATCGCCGCCCGGCGCTCGCCGCGCGGCTTCTTTTTTGCGCCGCCAGTTCCGGACATCGTGACGCTGAACCAGACGCTGGACATCTGCAAGCACTACACCAACCTGTGCCTCAACGGCCGCTGCGTGCCCACGCCGGGCAGCTACCGCTGCGAGTGCAACGTGGGTTTCAAGCAGGACCTCCGCGGCGAGTGCATCGGTACGTGCGGCGGTGCCGGCGTCCGCGCGTCCGTCCCGTGCGTCCGTCGAGCGCCCCTCCTCGCGGTGCCGACCGTGACCCCCGTCGCCGCGTGCCCGGGTTCGCCCGGCTTTGGCCGTGAGCCCTACCGTGCATCCCGGCAGCCTCACCGAGCGATGACCCTTGACCTCCAGGAGCCGTGACGTTGCCGCGAGCCAACCCCCTTCCACGTCAATTCACCACGATGCTGTGCACGGTAGAATTTGACTGCCCTGGGACGACTGGGGTTCGTGCACTGGTGATCGCGAGCAGTTGTTGGTCGTGGAGCGACCTCCGAACTGCCCGGTGTTGTTTGTGCTGCTGCTACTGCTGCCATCTCCTTCTGATTCTCTTGGCTTCTCTCTTGGCTGTCCACGCCGAAGCTGGGCTGGCCTCTCATGTCAGCTGTTCTCATGGTGCGCGCCGTCCCTTCCCACCTGGTTCCTTTGGCTTTAAAAACAGCAGCGGCGGTGACCCCCCAGTTCTTTTCCTTATTTCTTTATTTCTTAGCCGATCATCTTTCACATACTCCGAGTAAATCTTCTTGCCATAGTTATTTGCCAAATTTGTTATTTTTGCCTTGTTTCCTAATGAACGACTGTTTTTTACGTACGAAAACTGGCAAAATACGCATTTTCCAATTTTTGTTCTATATTTTTAATATATATTTTGTTTAGGCTGTCCAACAACAATACAGGACCAAAGTATAGAGACAATTGGAGATCGGCAATCAACATTTTCTGTTAAGGCACAAAAGCAAGCTTGTTAACAACAACAAGCCTTACTGAGTCTCATGATTCTTTTCAGGAGGGTCCTGGCTAAGTTTTCACAGTTTTGGGGGAGGGAGAGGAATTCTGCCATTAAAAATCGATTTTTTTTTTATTTGGGAAACTGACCCATTGCGTAAAGTATTTCTACAGACGAGCGGGCGAATTAGCGGCGGTGAATTGGCGGCAGTTTAGAAGCGGCGTCGTCTCTCCGTTTGTGGCCTCGGTAGACGTCGACGAGTGTGGCAGCGGGCCCTGCAGCCACGGCGACTGCATCAACACGCCGGGCTCCTTCCAGTGCCGCTGCCACACCGGCTTCCAGGTCAACCCGGCCAAGCCGGCCTGCATCGGTACGTGGCCCGTCCGTGCGTGCGTGCGTACCTGCCCCGGTTTTCGCTGTGCGTGCGTGCGCGTCGGTTGACCCATAACACCTGGGGACTTCTCCCGTGATCTCCGGTCAGCACCACCTTCGACAATTCACACGATGGCCTGAAAGCCGCACCTATAACCTGGCACCCCAAGCACTGTGGTGACGTCACCACCACTTAGTGGGCAAATGGAGGCTATTGTTGTTGCACGCGTGCGTTGACTGTACCGCTGGGTGTGGGAGTAGCCCCCGGTGGAAATGCCTTCCCTTCGTTATGCCATGTCCAGAAGACACGGGGAGGGGTGCGGTGGTGTAGCGGTCATTACGATACGCTGCGAACCCGGCGACCCCGAGTTCAATTCCCGCTCACGGCCAACAGCAGTAAACTTCGCCACGAGGGAGACAAAGGCGGACGAGCGTGGTACTGGCCACCCACTCCCTCGTGTGCCGTGCCGGCCTTCACAGGTGCCACTCGCTAGCAGCACTTTCCCCAGCAGTCTGTTAAGGCTATACGGCGGGGGTGGTACCTTTAGCTTTGTGTGCGATGGACTGCACCGCAGACATCGACGAGTGCATCCACAATGGGCAGCTGTGCCGCAACGGGCGCTGCGTCAACACCGAGGGCAGCTTCCAGTGCATCTGCAACGCCGGCTTCGACCTCACGGCGGACGGCAAGAACTGCGTCGGTGAGACCCCTCAACCCCCCAACCCCCACCAGCCCCCCCAAACCCCCAGGCACCCGAACCCCCCCAACCCCGATAACCCACCCAATGCCCCCCCTCCCCCCTAACCCCCCAAACACCCCCCTAACCCCCCCAACACTCCCAAGCCCACGTGGCTGCTGCTGCCTTCCGCTTATTTGTGCGCGCCACGGTGGCGAGATGTTAACTTCCTCGCCTGGTATACAGGAGATCGTGGGTTCGATTCGCGACTCTGATGCTTGTATTTTGGGAGTTTGCATGATCTCTCTCCCTGTGATCGTGTGGATTCTTCTCCGGGTCCTCCGGTTTGTCCCTCCGCATTTAGAATGAACATCGCGCGTTTGGAGTATTTCGCTGCAAAAAGTCGAATGAACGCAAATGATCGTTGTTAACATTATTATTGTTCTCCCGTGTGCGATGGAGACCACGACGAATGCGCGACGACCAACATGTGCCTCAACGGGATGTGCATCAACGAGGACGGCAGCTTCAAGTGCATCTGCAAGCCGGGCTTCTCGTTGGCGCCCAACGGCCGCTACTGCGTCGGTGCGTGCACGTGGGGCGACGCTAACGCCCCCACCCCCCCGCCCCACGGGACGCGCGCGTACACGCTTACAGCGAGCTCGACGCACACGCACGCAGACGATCGCGTACACGCCTGGCCGGGCCCACGTGCGGCGGTGGAAATGGGCCAGCGTGTACGACGGTACGCCAGACCGGAAAACTTCCCCGGAACGCCGTGTGTGTGTGCGTGCGTTCTGGCACCGTTCAGGATGGTTCCTTGTTCCCACGCCACGGCGTGTAGACGCCGGCGAGCGCGGGCTGCGCGACGAACAGGTTTCACACCGGCGCGACTGCACATTGCGACCGCTGCTCACGGGGGCTTTCTCCTGAATGGTTGTCTTATCGCAACCAACTGTGAAAGTGCGGGTCGCGCCGTGCCGCGTGCAAGACGACGCGGCGACGGATGGGATGAACAGGGCTCGCTGCGCCGCCGTGCGAGTGACGCTTGCGGGGTTTGTGCGAGGCAGACATCGACGAGTGCCAGACGCCGGGCATCTGCATGAACGGGCGCTGCGTGAACAGCGAGGGATCCTTCCGCTGCGAGTGTCCCCCGGGCCTCGTCATCGGCATGGACGGCCGCATCTGCGTCGGTGAGTCCCCCCCCTCTCCCTCCCCCTTCACCCCCTCCCACGTGGCTCGGACATTCCCCTCCATTCACGCAGCCCGCGTTTGGATGCTCCGACCGAACGTAGCCGATTCAGGTTTTTTAGTTTTTTTTGTTCAACCCTTTACTCCGCGCGCCGCTCTGCGTCCGTTTGTCAGACACGCACATGCGCAGCACGTGCTACGGCGCCATCAAGAAGGGCGTGTGCGTGCGCCCGTTCCCGGGCGCCGTCACCAAGTCGGAGTGCTGCTGCGCCAGCACGGAGCACGGCTTCGGGGAGCCGTGCCTGCCCTGCCCCGCCAAGAACTCCGGTAGCGCCGCACACCACGCGTCCCCCCGCCCACACAGCGCACGTCAGCACGTGTCGGCACGTGTGAGTGCCTGTGAGCACGTGTCAGCACTCATTAGAACATGTCAGCACACATCAGCACACATCCATATTTGTCACCACGTGTCAGCCGATAGCAGTACGTGTCAGCATGTGTCAGCACACAGCAGCACACGTGCGCACGCGTCAGCACACAGCAGCACGTGTCAGCACTCAATACGAGGGTTGGTGGACCGCATCCAAATATTCTGAAACTCCCTTCCCGTGGGCGTCGAGGAGGTGTGCCACACCCTTGGATCTTCCAGGAGAACGCGGTACAGCAAATGTGGACTCTACCCATGCTGTTTCCGTGGGATAAAGCGTTTCCCCCTCGCACACGTGGGTTTTCCCGGGTGCTACGGTTTCCTCCCACATGTAAAAACGCTCATTATTTGGCCAATAACGTCTTCATATATAGAGGACCGCAGAGCTTAGGGGGGACGAATTTTACAGCGGCTCTCTGCTTCTCTGAGAACGTTCCCGCTCATCTGTGGTTCCTCCTCGCCCCTCATTCTCCCTCTTCAACAGCCAGCATACAATGTGCGGTGGCAGCGCATCATCATCATGGACACAATCATTCAATGACACTGTGGCCCAAAAAGGAAATAACGATGACGTTAACCGGTGACGTTTCAGGCAATGGCCCTCGTTCATGGCACACCTGCTGGGCACCGCGGTGGCGAGATGTTATCTACCTCGCCTGGTATACAGGAGGTCGTGAATTCGATCCTGACTCTGACGCCTGTTGTATATTTGGAGTCTTCATGTTCTCCTTTTTGTCATGTGGATATTTCTCCGGGTCCTCCGGTTTTGCCCTCCACCTTTAGAATCAACGAGTATTTGGCTGCTATAAATCTCCACATGATAAGCCACTTCGTTGGGCTATCGTCTGTAATTGCCTGGCCGCTTCTGAAAAAGAGCTTCATAGCTCAGTGGGCCTTACCTGGTCAAATAATTAGAGTTTTGGGTTTACCTGTCGACGCAAGGGCCATCACCCAATAAAGGGCCGTCACCTTGAATATATTTCTTTCTTTTTAGGTCCACGGTGTTGTTGACGAATACGTCGTTGTTGTTGTTGTCGTTCGTGCTCACGCACCGCCAGCCACGCAGCATCACGACCGAGACAACACACATGAGTAGACCTCCAGCGCATGATACTGTTGTACACGCGGCGTTCGTGACGCGCGTGTGCGTGACGTCTCTTGCTGTCCGATTAACAACGTGTCGCGTTTCCGCAGCGGAGTTCCAGTCCTTGTGCGGCAGCGGCCTCGGCATCACGGCCGACGGCAGAGGTGGGTTGACCGAGCGATCGACGGCAGCAAAGGGGCAGGAGGGGGGGGGGGAGTTCCTCGGCAGCAGAGAAAGCCCCCGCTGCCTCTTGCGACCCACGGCGATAAAAACATCACCCCTCGCCTCAGACGCGTTCCTAATTAGGTTTTTCCCGTCGCGAAGTTCCGATGTGAACTGGGCCGCTGGGAGAGAGGAAACCCGACCCTGAACCGTGTCAGCTGATCGTTTAAACCCCAGTTTTAGGGGGATGGTGGTGGGTAAAACTCTCATTATGACCGCAGTCAACCTTCAGTGGAAGACTGGAAGCCCAAAGGGAAGGCCGAGAGGCTTGACGCATCCTCCGTCCGTGCAGCGAAATGTGGTGATGTCACCAGAATGCTGTGACGGAATACCGGACTATATTGGGTAACGCCTGACTACGCTTAAAGTCTTTTTGTTGTTGTTTTCATGTCGTGAATGAAACTTCATGTTTGCGCTGGACAGCCAGGGAGTGCTAGGGAATGTAACTGCTTGAAGAGGGCAGCAGCGCACCTGAAGGGGTTTGTGGGCCAGTGGGACATGGATTTGGGCAAGAGGCATTGCCCGCCTTTCACTCAGACAACTGTCGAGCACACATATCCTGGGACCTTTTTCTGCCGGCATCAAAGCTTGACCCTTTCTGGCAATAAAACAGGAGTCGTTAAGATGCTCAAACACCAAGTATGCATAGCTCGAGGTAATGCGCTGATACCTGCATTGTTTGCCGGTTGGCGTTCTCTGGTCTGACGCTGTGAGACGAGGCCATACAGAAGGCTGCGCTCTCTGGTGTAGGCCAATCAGTTTCCAAGTCAATGCCATAAATAATGATCAGAGCATGTTTGTTTGTATGTTTTGGCGCAAGTGCGTGCGGTTAACGCAGACCTGATGTCTTTGCAGAAGGTATTTATTTGGTCTTTGAACATCTTAACACCTGTTTTATTGACAGAAAGGGAAAAACCTATTCTTATTTTTTTATGCTGTAGAGCACACACTTAGATAATTGTTGACTTGTCAATAACGCGCTGTAAAAAATTACAGGTTTCCCTCACTTTACGTGGGTTTGTGAGATTTCGCGAATATGCGGTTCAACCTATTTCTACCCAAAATTCGCTATATCGTGTGATTTTAATTCACTCAGATGCGGCTATGCGTTCGGACGTGGGACAACACTGTTTGTGAACTGTGTGTCAGAATCAGAATATTTATTTATACCGGAGAGTCTGACGAGCTACAAAGCTACTTGGCAGGCAGCCGGTCTAGCTTACCGTTGTACATGGGGCCCATTGGGCTTTTTTTTTTAAGCCTCTACCGCATAACGCGAGGAAAAAACCTGTATACCGTGAAGAAGAATTCAAATAACTTGGTTGAAAAATGGAAATCGAATCAATGAGTCACGAACTGTCTTAGTCACTATCCCACCGTGCGTCGTCTCAAGCGGGTGGGATTCCGTGGGCGCGTGGGGCGGAGGAGGCAATGGCGGTCGTGCGTGTGGGGAGCGGTGGTTCAGTGGTTAGCACACTGCACTACGAATCCAGCAACCCAATTTCGATTTCCACTCTCGGCCACCAACAGTGGCGATTATCTCAACTATTTCCCTGGCCTCCCCTAGGTCGATTCAGCCTCAAATGAGCACCTGGTGTGGTGTGTAAACATCGCCACTGGGGAGACAAATGCGGTCGGGCGTGGTGCTGGCCACCCACTCCCTCGTGTGCCGTGCCACCCTTCATAGGTGCTCGCAAACAGCACTTGCCCCAACAGTCTGTTAAGGCTACACGGGGGATATGTGTCTTTGTGCGGTGGCAGATATTAACGAGTGCGCCCTGGACCCGGACATCTGCCCCAACGGCATGTGCGAGAATCTGCGAGCGACCTACCGCTGCATGTGCAACTCGGGGTACGAGTCGGACATCTCCGGCAAGAGCTGCGTGGGTGAGTCACCTCGGCCAATCGCCTCCGACCACCGCTGCTACTGCTGCTGCCGCCCACCGCATTAAGTCTGCCCATCACTAGCCAACTGCGGTGGACCCAATTGAACCGCTGGGTAGACAGAGGCTGTGGTGGGGGCATACTTACCAAAACTAGCACCATTGTATCAACTGGGCACCACGGTGGCGAGATGTTAACTACCTCTCCTGGTATACAGGAGGTGGCTGTATATTTGGAGTTTGCGTGTCTCTCTACCCATGGTTGCGTGGATTTTTCTCCACGTGATAAGCCACTTTGTTGGACTATTATATGTTGCTTCTGAAAAAGAGCTACATCGCTCAGTGGGCCTTACCTGGTAAAATAATAAATAGTTTATATACAGAGCATTATTGCGTTCCCGACTTACGAACCGTTCATAAGTTGCCAAAACGACGAAACGGGCCTCGGGAACGGAACCCGTTCGTGAGTCGGGCACTGCCCGTAACTTACATTCAGCTCGCGATCGATGAGCGGTCGCGTCGGCTTGCGTTGGGTCGTGAGCGCTGCGCGATGTGCCCGAGGTTCCCGGTGGCGACCCGGGGCGGACGTGAGCACTGAGCAGAGCGAGAGGGGGCGGCGGTGGCGTGGGGGTTAACGTCGCCTTGCTCGCCCGCAGACGTGGACGAGTGCTCGCGCAACTCGCTGCTGTGCGACAACGGGCTGTGCCGCAACACGCCGGGCAGCTACTCCTGCTCCTGCCCCACCGGCTACGTCTTCAACTCCGAGTCGGAGACCTGCGAGGGTAACGCTTCGCCACGCACGGGGGACGAAGACCCCCCCCCCCCCCCCGCGTGGCCTTTACGCACCGTGGGGGTGAGCGGGTAACGGCCGATGCATGCGGCCATCGCCGCCGACGTCCCTCGCGCCGACGATGAGATTGTCCCCGTGACCCCCCCTCCCCATCCCACCGCACCCCCGAGCAGACGTGAACGAGTGCGAGGGGGGCCCGTGCGTGAACGGCGTGTGCAAGAACACGGCGGGCTCGTACGTGTGCGAGTGCTCCATGGGCACCAAGGTGGACGCCACGGGCACCGTGTGCATCGGTGAGCGAGTCGGGGCCGCACCGCGGAGCCAGACGACTCAACGCCCCCCCCCACTACCACTTCCCTAAGGAGGGGGAGGAGGCATCATCAGAGCGACGATAGCCTTAGCAGACACACGTACACACACACACGAGCACAAAGACAAAGATCACCCGTGTAGCCTTAACACACTCTTGGGGCAAGTGCTGTGAGCGAGTAGCACCTATGAAGGCCGGCACGGCACCCGAGGGGGCGGGTGGCCAGCACCACGCCCGACCACCTTTGTCTCCCCAGTGACGATGTTTACTACACACCGCACCAGGTATTTGTTTGAGGCTGCGTAGACCTAGGTGAGGCCCAGGACCGGTTCAGATAATCGTCACTGATGTTGACCGTGAGCGGGAATCGAACCCGGGTGGCTAGTTTCGTAGCGCAGCATGGTGCTAACCACTACATTACCACGCACACACCCACAAGTACACACACACACGCACATGTGCACATGCACACGTACACACACACGTGCACACACACGCGCACACACACGCACATGTGCACATGCACACACACGTGTGCATACACACGCACATGTGCGTGTGCATACACACGCACATGTGCACATGCACACACACGTGCACACGCACACGTGCGCACACACAGACGCACATGTGCACACACACAGACGCACGTGTGCACACACACACACATGTGCACACACACGCGCACACGTGCACACGCACACACACCGCCCTTTGTGTCGCAACTACTGCCTGCAGTTCGGCTTAAAGGGAGAGAGAGGAGACCTTTTGAGCCGTCGTAAGGGGACAGCGACTGCTATGAGGCTTCCCCGCCTTGCTCGGCAACTCGGTTGCTCTGGCACGTGCAGCAGTGCGACCTCACCGACTCGCGTCTGTGTTGTGATGACGCTTGCCGTTGTTTGTGAGCTTTGGTTTGGTGCCATTTCTGTTTGTTACATTTTCATTTTGTTTGGAAGTCGGGGTTTTCGTTTGCTTCGTAGTGGCTGTACAGTGGAACTCCCTCCTCCTAACGAAGGCGATTGGTTCCACGAAGCCGGTCGCGAAGTGATTTGGTCGTTAAGCGAGCGTAGGAAATGCGCGTTAAAGGCTTCATTCGCTCTGATGACATCGAAAGTTACCCCCTTTGGCACCCAAAAAACGTACTTTATAATATTTAAACAATGGATGCTATTACATAAAGATACTAACACCATTATAAACACATGATATTAAAATAAGCACGGTTAATCAATGCATTAATTAATATGTACTGTACCTACAACAGCCAGTCATTAACAGGGGAATGGTCGGGAAGTGAACACATTAGGCTCTATGGAGGCACTACACTATACACTGCACTGCTATACAATACACTATGCACTACACTACTATACTATACTCTACTATACTCTACACTTTACTATACACTACTCTACTATACTCTAAACTACACTATACACTACACTATACACTACACTACTATACTATACACTACACTATACACTACACTACACACTACTATACACTACACTATACACTACACTACTATACACTACTCTACTATACTCTACACTACACTATACACTACACTATTATGCACTACTTTACTATACACTACACCAGAGGTGTGGACTCGAGTCATGTGACTTGGACTCGAGTCAGACTCGAGTCATGAATTTGATGACTTCAGACTCGACTTGGACTTGCATAACAATGACTTTGTCCCACCTCTGCACTACACTACTATACATTACACTATACACTACAATACACGACACTACTATACACTACACTATACACTACTATATTAAGCTCATTATCTTTGTGTCTGTAAAATATAACTTTGTAATTGCTGGGTGGGCGGAGACAATGGGGGGGGGGGGGGGGGGGGGGGGGTTTTGATCGTTACCGCTGACCTGACCGACGACGTCTTTGGGTGTGTGTTGTGTGTCTTGGTGCTTTGTCGGTCCTCGTTTGGCTATGCGCATATCTGCACGTCTGTACGTACTCGATGTGGTTGTCCGTGTGTGTCTGTGTGTGCTTGTGTGTATCGGTTTGCACTACATCGGGCGTGTATGCCTGCTTGTGTATCGTGTGCGTCTGCCGCTGTGTGGCGTGTGTTTGTGTCTTGGCGCGTGTGTGTGTGTGTCTATGCATGGCTACTTGTGTGCACCTACCTGTATTACGTGGGTATGTTTTTGTGGGTGTTTCTTGTGTGTCTGAACGTGTATGCCTGTTTGTACCTGTATGTGTCTGTCTGCATTTCTGTCCGCATGACTGTCTGCACGTCTGTCTGCGTGTTTGCATGCACATCTGTTTGCACATTTGTCTGTCTGCACGTCTCCTCTGCATGTCTGTCTGCTTGTCTGTCTGCTTGTCTGTCTGCATGTCTGTCTGCTTGTCTGTCTGCATGCCTGTCTGCTTGTCTGTCTGCATGCCTGACGGCACGTCTCCTCTGCGTGTCCGTCTGCGTGTCTGTCTGCATGCCTGTCTGCATGTCTGTCTGCTTGTCTGTCTGCGTGTCCGTCTGCGTGTCCGTGCGGCGTCGTCCCCCTTGGCGCGTGCCTCGGGCCCGCAGACAGCATCAAGGGCACCTGCTGGATGCAGATCCTGGACAACCGCTGCGAGGTGAACATCAACGGCGGCACCATGAAGTCGGAGTGCTGCGCCACGCTGGGGGCCGCGTGGGGCAGCCCATGCGAGCCCTGCGAGCTCGGTAAGCCGCCCACGGCGCTGCCCCGCGGCTCCTCCTCTGACGACGACGTCGCCGGGGGGTTTTGCTGCCGTGGTCCCGGCGATTCGGGGGGTCGGGGACACCGAGCCGGCGGTTGTCGCCCGGGTCCTCGGGTGCGAATCCGGGATCGCGGCCGGATCGTCTCCGCCGGGTGCCACGGTGGCGAGGTGTTAACCCGCTCGCCAGGAGAAGGCGTACAGCAGATGTAGACTCCGCTTGTGCGGTTTCCATGGGATAGGGTGTTTCCCCCTCGCACGCAGGTGTTACGGCTTTCTCCCACGCGTAAAAATACTCGGGGTGCCGCGGTGGTGAGATGTTAGGAGGTCGTGGGTTCGATCCCAGCCTTGACGCCTGTATATTTGGAGTTTGCATGTTCTCCCCATGGTCGCGTGGATTTTTCTCCGGGTTCTCCGGTTTTTCCCTCCACATTTAGAAACACACGTTTAGAGTATTTGACTTCTATACATATCCACGTGATAAGCTACTTTGTTCGAGCTCTCATTTGTGAAAAAGAGGGCTCGCATTAAAGAGGGCCTCGCGTAAGAGAGGGCCTCACAACGGGCCTGGTTGTGTCGCCGGTGAATAAGCGTGGACCCCGCGTGGCCTTCGGTCTCGGGGCCCTCTCGCCCTGCGCCTCCAGGGGCCTCTGGGCGGTGCCGTATAGAAGCGGTTTTGTCACGTTATTTTCTGTGGGTTGTTTGCGAGCTAGCGGGAGATTTTCGGTTTCTTCGCCGTGCGAATTGGAGCCCGTTTTTGGGGGAAAGGCAAAAACTATAAAGTAAAAAAAAGAGTACGGTAAATGAGATAATGTCAGAAAAAAATGCATGAAAGAGAATATTTTTTTCCTTGTGGATTTTTTTAATTAACTTTCTTCTAAATGTCATTAAATATTTATATTTCTAGAAAATAGACTGGCTTATGTAAGTCATTTATATTGTTAATACATTATTATTACTATACATCATTGCAGATATAATTATTGATATATTTTTGGGCTCTGGCTTATAAAGGTCATAAAACATGTATATAGATAAAAGACTGACTCATGTAAGTTATAACAATTGCATAAATTACCGTGCGTTCTGATCGTCCGTCTGTTTGGCGCCACACAGACCCCGCCTGCCCGCGTGGCTTCTCCCGCTCCAAGAGCGTCAACTGCGAGGGTGAGTGTCCTCGGGACTTGTCGAGGCTTCTTCAGCGTTCTCCACGGCGACGGGGCCCCTTGGCGCGGCTCCCGGTGGCCGTTGCTGAACGAGAGTCGAAGTGATTTCTTGCTCAGATGAGTGATCGAGGCAGCGCTCATCCCCTATTGACAGTCCTCGGTGGCAATGCCTCGTTACTATGATGGGGGCGAGTCTGTGTATAAGACAGCCGCGGTTGACTTCCCCACAAAGTTGTACTTATTTTATCGACCCCAAATTGACGATGATGATGTGCTGAATGAACCACCAAACGCCAATCTCACGTGGCAGTGGCTGAACACGTGTGAAGCATTGTTACGTGATCTGGAATCAATAATGCAACCGCATCCGCACAAACCATGGCAGATACCTGACATGCACAAATGGAAATTAAAACCTCCCCAGTGTGCGACTGCGTTCGTCCAGAACACACCGCGCAACGTATGATGACGCAATGCCCGATCCACACATACGAAGGAGACATCACAGCGATACATTCCGCTGCTCCTGACGCGATTAACTCCCTGGCTTGACCACCTGGATGTGACATTGGAGTTGTGGCTCTGCATCCACATCAGCCGGACAAAAGAAAGGAACGAGTAACGCAACCTTGAATTCCTTGGCATTTAATTGGCAAAAGCACGCTGCAAGAGGTTTGGCAGCGTGGTTAGAGCCACCACTGTGCACGTTACACATTGCCTTCACCTACAAGCCTCTCATACTGAGCATGGCTACATCTGAAACGACAATAATAATCGGCACGTGTACACGCTTGCACACTATGACCACGTCGGGTGGTGGAGGGCCTTATAATGACACAAATTTGGCCGGACCGTTGTTTGGCGCATGTCGGACGTGTCGCCGTGTGTGCGTGTGTGTGTGCGTGTGTGTGCGTGTGTGCGTGCGTGTGTGTGTGCGTGCGTGTATGCGTGCGTGTGTATGCGTGTGTGTGTGCGTGTGCGCATGCGTGCATATGCGCGTGTGTGCGTGTGTGTGCGTGTGTGCACGCGTGTGTGCGTGCGTACGTGTGTGCGCGTGCGTGAGTGTGTGCGTGCGTGTGTGCGTGTGTGTGTGTGCGTGTGTGCGTGCGTGTGTGTGTGTGTGCGTGCGTGTGTGCGTGTGTGTGTGTGCGTGGTGCGCGCGCGCAGACGTGAACGAGTGCGACGTCTTCCCGGGCGTCTGTCCCAACGGCGCTGCGTGAACACCCCCGGCTCGTTCCGCTGCGACTGCCCCCAGGGACTGATCCTGGACGGCACGGGACGCACGTGCGTGGGTGAGAGACTCCGCGTTTGCACGCAGCCCCCCCCCCCCGCGCGCGCACAAACGACACGCCAGCGACGGACATTCCTTTTTCCACCGGCAGAGGTTTAAATCGCGTGGCTCTGCCTATGCCGCACGCGACTCCTGGCGACGCTTTCTGCAAATGTTGGGCAACATCTCGTGTTCTCGATTTTAAGTTTTTGCTATTTTATTTACCAGGTCAAGCCCACTGAGCTAATAGTTATTTTTCAGAGCCGACCTGGTCACACGTAATAGTTCATCGAAGTGGCTCATATCATCATCGCACG